AAACATGGACTGCTTTGCCAGATACAGAGTCACCACCTAAATATTTTATTTTGGGGAAATTTAGGAAACCCTCACTCGTGCCTAAAGTCACGTGTCCGTCATCACCAAAGTTGCCTCGGCTCGGGAAGTTGGGTACGATTGGGGAAGGTCATGCAATGAGCACCCCCGCTCGTCCGATCAAAGATAGGCCACTACTAAAAATGATATCGAGTTTTTGAAAACACATGCGTTCTTATTCCGGTTTATTAGCCTAGGATTATTATGTGATGCACACAGCATACAAGTATAGACTAGATCGCCTGAGTTGGAACAAAACATTTCATGTTTGTTTATTTGAATGTAGACTGCCTCAGCTCTGCCTTGAATGATAAAGGATGCATACAAGCTCGAGTCGCCTTGTCGGGAAATCCATCGCGATGCCCCAGCTTGCCTTTGTTTGCAATTGATTTCAGAAATTTGCACAAAGCTCCAGAGAGATGAAACTCCACCCCAGGAAACTGTGGGAAGGCTGCCGACCAGCTTATAGGCATGGGAGACCAACTACCGACCACCTTTTGTGGTGGAAACCAAAGAAGGTGGTCGGCCTAAGGCTGCCGACCAGCTTATAGGCATGGGAGACCAACTACCGACCACCTTTTGTGGTAGAAGAGAGAGGCACGACAAGGTATTTGCAACACATGTGTGCATGACCACTCTCCCCGTCATTGCATTAGCTCTAGGGAGTGTAGTCCTCGACCCTCGGGCCGCCGGTCGTGCATCTCGATGCATGATGGCCGAGGAGTCGAATTGCCCGACTCAATGTGAAAAGAATGCACATACAAACACCTAAAGCCAACAACTCCGTCATGGGTAGTCAAGAGTGTCGGCGATCGGGAATCGAGGCACGTTTCGTCACTTTGAGTACGAAACATCCCTCGTTTCCCGTGTTCAGACTAACTCATATTCCGAACACAATGCAATAAATAATGGCATGCACAATGCGACTTTAAGTATGCAACCTAAATGCTATGCAACTAAGTGATGAAAACATGCAAAGGATGACATGGAAACATGCAACTAGCATACCAATGCTATGAACTAACAATGGCATACTCAATGTGCGTGGTACTTAGCATACACAATACACCTAAGAACTAACATACACAATGAGATGAACAAGGCATGTACAATGCAATGATCAATCATGCGACAATGTGGTATAGTCAATGCTATGGAATACAATGGCATACTCAATGCAAAAATGGACTTAAACCAAAATGAATGGACCTCAGCCACACCCAAATCAGTGGCCAAACATGATGAAAACAAGACTCCAAAACTCATGCTATGGCTTGAGCTTTCCTAAGCTCCCTAAGCTCACGCTCGGCCTTCTCTGCGCGAACCTCCAAACTACGGATTCGTTCATCCTTCTTCTCTATTTCCCGTCACGCGGCGCGCAGACGCATGCCGACCTCATAAGCGGTGTACAGCCCCTTCACCGCCCCATGGATGCCTTCTCAAAATACTTTGAAATCTTGTCATCTAACCATCGACTGCTGGACCTCCAGTGGAAAGATCTGTCGAGCGAACTCGACTACTACACCTGGATCGTTAACGATGGAATCTGCTTCCGTCATCGGTTTATTCCCCACGAAAACTGCAAAACTCAACGGTCGTGGCGTTACATCGAGCTCGCTTCTTGATCGCGGTCGCGGGGAGCTTCCCTGTTGCTGTTTTTCTTTTCGGAGTGATCTGCTTCGATGACTAGGGGGCTGACGTTTTTCCTGTTCCTTGGACGTCTTTACTTCCGTGCACGTAGGCTCGCTACTGCGATTCATTGCAGTATCTAACTCAGCCAATGTTCGTCCTTCTCCTCTACTGTTGAAGAACAGTCTGTTTGACATTCGCACTTATCCCAGCCTAGTTTAAATTAAGTCTGAATAAAAATAAATGGAATCACTGACGTGAACTCACTCTATTTATCCTTAATGTATGCAGTGCCCCCGAGGCGACGTTATTAATTCTAAACGCCAAAAGCCAGATGCCGATCGGACCATTACACGAACCAGTCCCATTCGGCTTATGAAGCTCATGCACTGGCTAGGGCAAGGACATATTCATTAATCTGATCGGCCAAGTATCCAAACCCAATGCCGATCGATTTATGCCGCAGCTAGGGGTGAGCAGCGGATATACCGATCCGTCAAAACCGACCGAACCGAACCGAACCGCCGCATTTTGGACGGATGCGGATGACGAGGGACGGTTGCGGATTGATTTTTTTCAATCTGCCAATTTGGCGGACGGATGGCGGATTTGAGATTCCTTTGGCCGCAACCGAACCGCCAAACCGTGAGCACCCCTAATAATTTATAAGACTTTATGTTTTCAATTTATTTAAATATTTTGTTTGTGTTTTCAATTGAAAAAGAGTTTAAATATTCTGCTGAAATTTTTTTTTTCAACTTGAATATATTTTTTGAATTGAAAAAAATAAACGTATTATTTATCTATATTTTTTGATTTTTAAATTTAACTCTAAAAATAATAAATAGAAAATATGATATATGATAGTTGATTTTTGTTTTCAAAAACATATATAGATGTAACAATACAGAGACATACAAAAGTAACCTATGGTGACGAAAAGTAGTGAAGAAAATAAATTTTGTCGCTGAATAAGAATAATTCGTGACAAATTATAAAATTTTGTCACGTATAATAAAAAAATAAAAATAATAGGTGACGAAATTTATTTTTGTCAACAAATACTTCTTTTTAGGTGAGGAAAAATTAAGTTTCGTCACCGAAGGTTTTCCCGCTAATATTGTTTGAGTGGCGCCAAAAATTTAGACTTTTGGTGAGAAAAAAATTTGTCACCAATTATAAAATTATTAGCGAGGAATACATTTTTGTCACCAATAATTTTGTATATATTTTTTTTGAGAAACTTGATTTTAAATGTTTTAAGACCATTTGGTGAGAAATATATTTTTATCACTAATAATTTTTAATATTTTGAGACATTTTAGTGAGGAAATTATATTGTCACCAATTTTAGAGGAAAAATTTTAACATATTGGGCGGTAATGGAAAAAATAGACTACTAACTTTTTTCCCCCTTTATTTTTGTTTGTCAATTTTTCTCTCCCCTCTCTCTCTCTCTCTCTCTCTCTCTCAAAATAAAAACACAAGTTAATTAACTCTCTAAACTTAAAAGTAGCAAATTATGAGTACAAAACTCTAAAATTTTGCTCAAAGCATGCTTTAGTCTGAATTTGTGTTCAATGTTAAAGAAGTATAGATGAGGAACATGAGGTTGCTCCTTCCATGCTCCATTCTACAGACTTGATGTATAGATTTTATAGCTTTCTTTTGTTTTATTTTAAAGCTATTAAATATATTTTATAGTTTTTTTTTTAAATTATTATTATTATTTTTTTTAAATTTGACAATTCTAGTGTCTTCACTGAGCTGTGTTTGCATTGCTGAATATATCTATTGAATTGTGGTTTTAACTTTGCATATCTAAACATCATTTATAATTTTTAGATTAGATATCACTCTCTTGAAGAAGAAATATCCTTTGGACCTGGTTGTTGGTTGTGGGATTATGGGGCTTCTAGTTTTCTGCATCCACTTTCTAGTGGTGCTGGGTTCTAAGGCACATAAGGGTTATGTTTACAAAATTGGAATTGTACGTTGTGTTTTTATATTATTTTTGCTACTCTATTAATGACATTTTATTTTGCATGTTGGCCAGCTCTTTGGTTTGGCGAACACACTTATGGAAAATTCCAGAAACACTGCAGAGAAGGATCTTTCTATTCAAAGATATGCTGTCATTCCATTGTGTCCAAACAGCGGATTAATAGGATGGGTACCAAATTGTGACACCCTGCACCATCTCATTCGGAGTAAAGAGATGCTAGAAAGCTCCGCTAAGGTTCTTTTGATGCTCTATGTGTGTGTGTGTGTGTGTGCGCGCACGCGCATTTCGTCTAATTTTTTGTGCATGTTTCTGGTATATAGATCACCTTAAATCTAGAGCACAAACATATGCTTAATTTTGCTAAAGATTATGACCATTTGCCACTTATAGCTAAAGTGGAGGTGTTTGAGTATGCTCTGCAGAATAGTGAAGGAACTGACCTGGCAAGGGTATGTTTTCTTCAAGAAATATGCTGCATCTTCGGCTCTCCCTTGGGAATTCTTTTCTCAAGTTAGTTACATTGCCTCTTGATAGGTGTTTTAGTTAAAAAGTTGCACTTTTGAGAATTGGCTGGACAGGAGGACAAATTATACTAGAAGCTTGGCTATCATGAGCATGGTATCATTTTTCTTCTCGTATTATTTAGATCTTTTTCTTAAGACCAGCAAGATTGGGCTATATATGTTTCCACAAAATCAACACAATATGGCTCCCATGTATGATCTTATTTGTCAACCTTTTATGCTTTAGAAATGTTTAGATAAGAGAATGTTTCGAAGTAAATGTATGTTATTTGATTATACTTTTCTTTCTTTGGTTAGAATGATATACTAAGAAAGGAACCCTGCAAATCACTAACTTAATTTGTGAATATATACCCAATACAATTGTGTGATTAGGTGTCTAAAGTATTTGAATGCTTGTGTACATATCTTTCATTGTGTAGATATATGATTTTTTGGGTACTGATATTCTTTCCGTTGTATATAGGGATTCTTTGTTATTCTTTCATGGATGCCTATATATTTTAAAACAGTAAGGCCATAGCTAGCCTAAAAGTTGTAGTTTATCAGCAATTTATCACATACTCAACAAGTGTACTGATTTTATGAGAAAGATGAAATACATGTCTCTTTGTTATAGATATATCATGTCCACCTTAGACAAGTAGCTTGGTCTTTCAAAAAAGTAAAAACATAACCAAAGACAACTTCTATTAATTTTGTTTCCAAAATGTATTTACTAGTAGTCATGGTCAACGCAATGGACTCATGAACATCATGTATGGTTGTCCAATTTTTTATTTTTTAAAATTTCTTTCTAACTTTGATTCAAACAGGCAATAAACAATCATTGATGCTGGTTTCACAAAATTGCATGTAACCTGGAAAACTAGAAGTTTGAATTGAAATATTTCTGTCTACATTTGTTTCTCTTGTTTTACTTTTGGATTTTCCTACTAATCATGTGATACAGTAAGCATCAGGTATATCCTTACTTGCAGTCAATTGGTTTTGTTGGTCCTGGGATTGCGCTCGATGGTCTAACCATGGCAAAGCACACATCAATAGCATCTGCTTGGCTTACTTTAGTTGTTGGGCTAAAATCATTTAGTCATTGTGGGTTCCTTGTGAATCTTCAGGTTAGTGTACTCAGAAAAAAAATACTTGAAATTAAGAACAGCATAAATTCTGTTTTCACCCTCGTCTGACCTTATTTTCATTCTTTTCTACAAAGCAAGGTTTCTTAAGAAGCAAGGTTTCAAAGGACAATTTAAAGGAGGAGGTATCTCATGAACTCGTAGATCGCCATTTTGGTAAGTCCCGCTTGTTTTATGTTTTTATTTTTCTAATGTTGGTTAGTATATACTAGTTAAAGCACAACAATTTCACTAATTATTAACTAAGATTTAACAAGTTTGAAGATGTGTTTAATGAAAATAGATTCATTAGTTACTTCTTACTTAGCATGACCCTTATTAAAATACACATTAACCAAAATAGAGACAAAACTACGTGTATATTTTTTTGTGTATTTTTGCTAGGTAGTGTTGGAGTTGCTCTAATTTAGTGATGTGATTAATAGGAGTTTGTCATGTATAAAGGAACTTTTGGTTGTTAAGCTAGACTCATTGTGTACATAATTTGTATTGACATGGATAAAAAGGTCTATACAATGTAATTGATAATATTTTAATATTTTTTTTTTGTTTATTTTCTTTGCAGATTGGTTTTTGATGACGTTTGGAAGCATACTTGCAAATTAAGATCAAGTGTTAAATTTTTTTTTCCTGAACTGATACTTGGTTCTAGTTGCAAATCAAGATTGAATGCTGTTTTTTTTTTTTTGTGAACTCCATGTTAGTTAATTTTTGGATTTGCTTTGATGGTTTTTTTGTTATACTTAATGAATTATTATTAAATTTGTTTGATGGATATATTTTGATTTATAATATAAATTTTTTGGTGAATTTTTTTATGGAGTGGCATATAATAGCTAATGGATTTCTTAGTACATTTAAAAGGTTATTGGGATATGAATAGGGATATTTGTAAAATAATAATTTAAATTGAAATACAAAATATGGGACAAGTTTAGTGACGAATTTTTTTCGTCATTTGTATTTGTTATTATAACAAAGTGATTGTTTGTCGCTAATAAATATTTTTTGTGACAAAATTTACTATAGTTTATATATGAAGGTTTTCATTAATTTTGTTGTTTGGTGATTAAAAATTTCGTCATGTATATATATTTTTGTTACAAAATATATTTCGTCGCCCATGTATGATATTTGGAGACGAAAAATTTTGTCAACTTTACATCTTACTGTGACGAAATTATTTCCTCATCAATGATCAACATGCGTGACAAATTTATTCGTAAACTAAAGTTATAAATGTGGTACTGAAAAACTATTTGGTGACGAAAATGAGGATTTTTGGTGACAAAATGTTGTTTTATTGGTGACAAAAAGTTTCGTCACAAAAGTAATTTCATTGGTGACGAAATTATTTTTCGTCACGATGCTTTTTAGTGACAAACATTCAATGACGAACCTGGTAACGAAAATATTTCCTCACAAATATCTATAGTGACGAAATTAGCTCTTTGGAGACGAAAAAAATTCGTCATTCAAGACCCAACTTGTTGTAGTGATACAATCTCTACTACTGCCTTATTCATGGTTTTGGTGGTTTGAATTGTTATTATATTTTAAGAACCACATTTGTAATACTTTATATGGATGAATCATGCTGTGATTGTAATATGTGGATGAGCCATGCAGTGATTGTGATATTTTAAAGTTTCAAACTTTCTTTTTTTGGATGAGATATATAGTGATTATAATAATTTTTTAAGTCATTGAATGTAATACTTTCTTTTTTTTGAGGAAGTGCACAAGTTGAATTATGTTGAAAATTTATAAAATCTTAAACCGCCAAACCGATTCGCATCCATCCGCCAAACCGCCAATCCGCTCAATCCACATCCGCCGGATTGGCGGACGGATGTGGATTGATTTTCTCCAATCCGCCAATCTGGCGGACGGATGGCGGATTAGAGGTTTCGTGGCCGCAACCGACCCGCGCCCACCCCTAGCCTCAGCCATTCCATTCGGCTTATGAAGCTCATGCACTAGCTGGGGCAAGGGCAGATTTATTAATCTGATCGGCCAAGTATCTAAACTCAATGCCGATCGATTTATGCCGCAGCCATTCCACGAGCTAGTCTCATTCAGCTTATGAAGCTCATGCACTGGATGGGGCAAGGGCAGATTTATAAATCTGATCGGCCAAGTATCTAAACCCAATGCCGATCGATTTATGCTGCAACCATTTCACGAACTAGTCCCATTCGGCTTATGAAGCTCATGCACTGGCTGACGCCAAGGGCAGATTTATTAATCTGATCGGCCAAGTATCTAAACCCAATGCCGATCGATTTATGTCGCAGCCATTCCACGAGTTAGTCCTGTTTGACTTATGAAGCTCATGCACTGGCTGGGGCAAGGGCAGATTTATTAATCTGATCGACCAAGTATCTAAACCCAATGCCGATCGATTTCTGCCGCAGCCATTCCACGAGCTAGTTTCATTCGGCTTATGAAGCTCATGCACTGGCTGGGGCAAGGGCATATTTGTTAATCTGATCGGCCATGTATCTAAACCCAATGCTGATCGATTTAGGCCACAACCATTCCACGAACTAGTCCCATTCGGCTTATGAAGATCATACACTGGCTGGGGCAAGGGCAGATTCATTAATCTGATCGGCCAAGTACTTAAACTCAAAGCCGATCGATTTATGTCACAGCCACTCCATGAATTATGATACTTGGCATTGAAAACAAAATGTAGCCATTTTACAATTGAAAGCAATACCATTCTGTAGACGTCCCCGAACGTCCCAAAAAAATCCCGTTTTGTTCATTGGGCTTACTACAGTTCGGACTCAAATGTCATGGTTCTTAATCTAATCCCGCAAAGTGCAATGCGAGACTGATAAATCACCAAAGAGTCCAAATCTGGCAAATCGTTTTGAAAAATTGATTTTTAGAAAGAAGTGCCAAACATGGACTGCTTTGCCAGATACAGAGTCACCACCTAAATATTTTATTTTGGGGGAATTTAGGAAACCCTCACTCGTGCCTAAGGCCACGTGTCCGTCATCACCAAAGTTGCCTCGGCTCGGGAACTTGGGTACGATTGGGGAAGGTCACTTCGTGAGCACCCCCGCTCGCCCGATCAAAGATCGGTCACTACTAAAAATGATATCGAGTTTTTGAAAACACATGCGTTCTTATTCCGGTTTATTAGCCTAGGATTACTATGTGATGCACACAGCATACAAGTATAGACTAGATCGCCTGAGTTGGAACAAAACATTTCATGTTTGTTTATTTGAAAATGGTTTGATGGTGCTACTCGCAAATAGGCTAAGCCGTGGATTTGCCACCCTCAAGTGGGCTTAGAAAACATGGTGATTTGTCACTCTCAAGTGGGGTTAAAACTCACAATCGATGAATTGTTCCAATTCAAGTAATCCAACCTTCACCCATAGGCATTCAGGCAGGTATATCACATAATCAGTTAGCCTCATGGCAAGCATGCTATTATGACAGTCACTCACACACATACAAGGATGCTAAAGCATAAACACTTACCGAGTACTCCGAGCCAAAGAAAGAAGCTAATTAGAAATCATGCATGAATCCTAACTATGCTGAGATGCCTAATGCAACACATGCAGGATGCAACTAAGATAGGCTCGGCTATTCTAAAATGGCATATGAGATGTTACAGATAACATGTATTCAATTTGGAATTGAAATACAATGCAGTTAGTATGATGCGCCGAGCCCGGTGCATGCAAGATAGATGAATGGATGCAATCATGCGAGCATAAGGATGCAAATTGAAACATGCCATAAAATTAACCATCATAAGCTGGTAAATAAAAGGGAGAAAGATGTGGGGTTGGAAGACATGCATCACACACACGCACACTTATTACAACAGTGGGCCCTCTCGACGGAGGGTCCGAATAAATAATACAACACCAACTAGCTAATCTAAGCTAATCTAATTAAGCTAGTTATTACACAACCTAAATGAATAATAAATTACAGTTAATTATTACACAACTCTAATTAATTAACAAACTAACTAAGTAAGCAATTAAACTAGCATGCAAACGACATGAATGTAGACTGCCTCAGCTCTGCCTTGAATGATAAAGGATGCATACATGCTCGAGTCGCCTTGTCGGAAAATCCATCGCGATGCCCCGACTTGCCTTTGTTTGCAATTGATTTCAGAAATTTGCACAAAGCTCCAGAGAGATGAAACTCCACCCCAGGAAACTGTGGGAAGGCTGCCGACCAACTTATAGACATGGGAGACCAACTACCAACCACCTTTTGTGGTGGAAACCAAAGAAGGTGGTCGGCCTGCCAGAAAACTTGGTCGGCCGACCAGTCTCCTCTCCTGGATTCTGTTTTTCTGCAACAAAGGGAAAGAAAGAGGCACGACAAGGTATTTGCAACACATGTGTGCATGACCACTCTCCCCGTCATTGCATTAGCTCTAGGGAGTGTAGTCCTCGACCCTCGGGCCACCGGTCGTGCATCTCAATGCATGATGGCTGAGGAGTCGAATTGTCCGACTCAATGTGAAAAGAATGCACATACAAGCACCTAAAGCCAACAACTCCGTCATGGGTAGTCAAGAGTGTCGGCGATCGGAAATCGAGGCACGTTTCGTCACTTTGAGTATGAAACATCCCTCGTTTCTCGTGTTCGGACTAACTCCTATTCCGAACACAATGCAACAAACAATGGCATGCACAATGCGACTTTAAGTATGCAACCTAAATGCTATGCAACTAAGTGATGAAAACATGCAAACGATGACATGCAAACATGCAACTAGCATACACAATGCTATGAACTAACAATGGCATACTCAATGCGCGTGGTGCTTAGCATACACAATGCACCTAAGAACTAACATACACAATGAGATGAACAAGGCATGTACAATGTAATGATCAATCATGCGACAATGTGGCATATTCAATGCTATGGAATACAATGGCATACTCAATGCAAAAATGGACTTAAACCAAAATGAATGGACCTCAGCCACACCCAAATCAGTGGCCAAACATGATAAAAACAAGACTCCAAAACTCATGCTAGCATACACAATGCAAGAACCTAAGCCCAAGGGCACAAAATGCAACTCTACAAAAGCATTGAAATGATGAAATATGGCATACAATGACACATGTTCCAACTCTGAAATGACATACAAAATGGCTCCGAATAATGCAAACAACTCACACAATGCGTGTTGAAAGGCTCAAGTACCGAAGCTAGTGAAGCACATTACACTAGAGGCATGCAAGGCGATGCTCAAATGACAAAACCAACTCCAAACAGACCTTAAGCAAGCCCAAAACAGTGGCAAAATGAGCCAAGATGGTGGCTTGAAAGGCATAAGAATGAAGCTCAATGCAAAGGCTCATAAATGGGGTATAATGATGCAACTCTCAAACACATTGAAAGAGTGACAAACATGAGAATATGGCCAAGAAATAAACTCTGAAATATCATGCTCAATGATGCTAAAACATGCAAACACCTCAAGTTAAGCATGCAAGCGGATTCAAAACTCAAGGCTAAGCAAGGGTACTACACTACAACCATACATGGCAAGCATCATTCAACCAAGGGACCTCAAAACAGAGCTAAGGCAGCCCAAAATATGAACAAAATCA